TATTCTTGATGAGTCTCAAGGGGAAATGTATATAGAATTGTCTGTTTTGGTATTTTTTACCCTTCTGGCTTTATTTAAATGTAAGAGATGTACAGGAACAAAGACTATATGAGCTTAGAAATGCTGAAGAGAGCCAAGTGGTAATTATAAGCCAGACTTTGAATTTCTTAGGCTTCCCATGAGAAAGTGAAAAATAGTCTTGTAATCAATAAGCTGAATCAACAGCATTGAGAAACATGATTTCCCAAAGTGCTGATATCAGAATATGATTTCTGGTCAGCTGGATATATTGGGATTCGACCTTCCTTATAACTGGTCAGTGAAACACAGGGAGCCCTACTTTCTGAAGAACATCTAAGGAGAAGGTGAACTGGGGAGCAAAGCCATCTTTAGTCACTGTTCCAAAGCCCTATTCCCTTTGCTTGTAAGATTGGATGACTCTTCTGTTTGGAGCTACAAGGCCAGGTGCACTGCTTCTGTCCTAACCTGTTTAAATATATTAATTAAGAAAATGTCACAGAATCTTTAGAGTAGAATGTCTCCAAAACTAATGGGTCTTAATCCTGCCACAACATTGGGATTATCTGGAGAGGTTTAAAAAAACATATTGATGTCTGCCTGGGAGGTTCTTATTTAACTGGTCTAGTATGTGTCCTGGGCATTGGGATTTTTAGAAACTCCTTGGTGATCAGTTCACTCTAATGTGGAGCCAAGGCTGAGAATTACTGCCCTGACTATATTTCATACAGGAGAAAACTCAGACAGGCTATTTGAGACCAGCGTCTTCTGTCTCCCAGGTCAGAGCTCTTCTCACCATAGCCTACATATCTTCTGTCCCTTTGAATGAAAGAGAGGCTACAAAAATTCAGATTTGCTTCGTAATACCTATGGCTCTGTAGAGACTCCTGTTATGTTGCTATGTTTTCCCATTAAGACCAAAAGATTCTTCTAGGCTGCAGGATTTGAATTCTTCTGAAGAACCTTGATTACCCATCAGATTCTATTAGGGGAGTATTTCTCAAGCTTCCATTGCAAATGAATCACTTGGGAATCTTGTCAAAACGCAGATTCTAATTCAGCAGGTCTGAGGTGGGACCTGCCATTCTGCATGTCTAACGTACTCCCAAGGACAATGGCACAGGTACATGGACCACGTTTGAAGTGACAAGGTTCTAGGGCTCAGATTCCTACCTTTGTCTAGGTACCCTTTTTTTTTTTTCTTTGTTGTTGTTGTTGTTGTTGTTGTTGTTAAGATGGAGTCTCACTCTGTCTCCGCAGGATGGAGTGCAGTGGCTCAATCTCAGCTCACTGCAGGCTCTGCCTCCTGGATTCAAGCAATTCTCATGCCTCAGCCTCCCAAGTAGCTGGAACTACAGGAGAGCACCACCATGCCTGGCTAATTTTTTGTATTTTTAGTAAAGATGGCATTTCGCCACGTTGCCCAAGCTGGTCTCAAACTCCTGAGCTCAGGCAATCCACCCGCCTTGGCCTCCCAAAGTGCTAGAATTTCAGGCGTGAGCCATCACACCCAGCCTTGTCTAGGTACTTTTATTCTCCATAATCATAAGATAATGACTGTCTAGATCAGTGTCTAGGTACTTTTTTTTTTTTTTTGAGACGGAGTCTGGCTCTGTTGCCCAGGCTGGAGTGCAGTGGCCGGATCTCAGCTCACTGCAAGCTCTACCTCCCAGGTTTACTCCATTCTCCTGCCTCAGCCTCCCGAGTAGCTGGGACTACAGGCGCCTGCCACCTCACCCAGCTAGATTTTTGTATTTTTTAGTAGAGACGGGGTTTCACCATGTTAGCCAGGATGGTCTCTATCTCCTGACCTCGTGATCCACCCGTCTCGGCCTCCCAAAGTGCTGGGATTATAGGCTTGAGCAACCGCGCCCGGCCAGTGTCTAGGTACTTTTAATCTGCTTTGTCTAGGTACTTTTAATCTGCATAATCATAAGATGATGGCTGTCTAGATTAGTGGTTTTTAAAGTGTGGTCCCTGGACCAGCAGCATCACCATCACATGGGAACTTCTCAGTAATGTAAATTCTTTGGCTCCACCCCACACCCAGTGAACCATAAACTTTGGAATTAAAGCCCAGAAATCTGTGTTTTATTGAGTCCTCCAGATGATTCTGTGTGTGCTAAGGTGTGAAAATCACTGCTTTATACAGATGAGTATTTAAAAAGTCAGCTGTAAGAACACAATTAAACCTAAAGTCCCTGCTTCTCCACTACTCAGGTCATGGTATATTATTCCTTTCCCACCTCATCCCCATCCTAGATGGGAGGGGATTATAGTGGTGGTCAAGCAAATGACAAGAGTGACAAGCAAATGACAAGTGGGACCAAGCAGCAGCCACAGTGGAAGTCCACAGAGACAGAGTCCTCTCTGGCTCCCAAAGCTCTAGTAAGGCTCTGGATTAAAGACAAACTTGAATGCTCCATTTCCAAAGCATGGTGCTCTATTATCTGCATCTGAATCACTTGGGATACTTGTTAAAATGCAGATGTCAGGGCCCCCCTCAGGACCTAATGAGCTGAAATATCTGATGGAGATGCTGAGGAATCTGTGTTTCAACATGCACTGCTGGATAATTTTGTTTCTGATGCACAGTAATGGTCGTGGACCACTGACTAATGCAGTGCATCTCGGTGATTACTGTCCATCAGAAGCTTGTTACAAAAGATTCTTGAGCTTCACCCCCAAAGGTTCTGGTTCAGTAGGTCAAGTGTGGGGCCCAAGAATTTGATTTCTATAATGCTCTCAAGTGAAGCCAATACAGACCACACTTACAGTAACATGTTCTAATTTTGTTATGAACCAGGAATTAATAAACTGGGCAGATAGTAAACCGTTGCACACAGAGGCTGAAAGAGACTTTCAGATTCATCAAGTCTAATATCAGATGGTTGAACTTCTTCCACGAAATCCCCACCAAGTGGGTCTCTTTGAATGTTCTACCAACAAGGATCCCACTACACCAGAGATGAACTTACTTAAATCAGATCAGTCACCCAACTATCAACTAAGCACTTACTGTGTGCAAGTTCTCTATGTTAAGTGCTAATGAAGATAAGTGAGTTTTCTCAGGGAGTCAGGGAACTGTAAAGATTACAGCTCTTTTGTTTTCATTTAAATATGTGTTATTATTGTGGAACTATTAAACCACACCATTGTTCGTTCTACACATAAAATGAAAAAAAAAAAATCAACAAATGTTCATGATTACTTCCATTAATTTTTGCTTTTATTTTTTTCCCATAGCTGGGCATGGAGCAGCATTATGAACTTGGAGAGTATATGAGAAAGAGATATAGAACATTCTTGAATGAGTCCTATAAACATGAACAGGCAAGTTGGGGAGCCAAGAGTGGGAACTTTGATATTTGAAAGAATTAAAATAATTCTGCATATATAAAAGTACTTTGCCTGTTTCCCAAGGGACTTATACAAGTCAGAGATCTTGTTTACAAACATATTCCTCTTTATGCAACATTTTGTTCCTAGAAATTTTGGAATGTGAGTAATTTCAAGATTTTATGAATACCTGAATAAATACTTTGGCTTGACAAGTAGCCACTGCTTAATTGAACTCATTTGTCAATTCAACTATTGACCAACAAGGTTGCTTTTACCATGATCATAATATTGCTCATTCCTTAACAAGTATTAAGATTCTGATGTTAGGCCGGGCGCGGTGGCTCAAGCCTATAATCCCAGCACTTTGGGAGGCCGAGACGGGAGGATCACGAGGTCAGGAGATCGAGACCATCCTGGCTAACACGGTGAAACCCCATCTCTACTAAAAAATACAAAAATTAGCTGGGCGTGGTGGCGTACGCCTGTAATCCCAGCTTCTCCAGAGGCTGAGGCAGGAGAATCGCTTGAAACCAGAAGGTGGAGTCTGCAGTGAGCCGAGATGGTGCCACTGCACTCCAGCCTGGGCGACAGAGTGAGACTCAGTCTCAAAAAAAAAAAAAAAGTTACACTGGCTGGGTGCGGTGGCTCATGCTTGTCATCCCAGCACTTTGGAAAGCCAAGGTGAGTGGATCACCTGAAGTCAGGAGTTTGAGACCAGCCTGGCCAACATGGTGAAACTCTGTCTCTACTAAAAGTACAAAAATTAGCTGGGCATGGTGGCACGTGCCTGTAGTCCCAGCTACTCAAGCGGCTGAGGCGGGAGAATTGCTTGAACCTGGGATTCGCTACTGCACTCCAGCCTGGGCGACAGAGTGAGACTCAGTCTCAAAAAAAAAAAAAAAAAAAAATTATACCACTATTACTGTAATCATTAAGGGAAGAATACTTCTCATCAGAGTTTGTCTGCAGTAAAGTACTCTTGTAAGCTTTGTGTTCCTTTCTGTCCTATCTTATGTACAAACTGATTTCCACTGTGTGTCACCTGCCTTCTAATGGCTGATCATCTTGATTCTTACATTACCTGAAACACAGTGAAAGAGTGAGCTTAGAATGGTGATTCTTAACTAGAGATTTACCCAGGGAGATTTTTTAAATCCTGATGTCCTGGCCACATCCCAGACTAATTAAATAAAAACTGGTTGAAAGTCAGTCCTCAGAATCTTTTAAAACTCATTAGGTGATTACAATGGGAAGCCAAAGCTGAAAACCAATGATTTGGGAGAAAAAAAAAAATCTATTATAATGAGCAGAAGCAAAACACCCAAGTGACGTTTATAACATCACTCTCTCACATCTATTTTCAGGTGTTTCGGCATGGAGACCGAAGTCCCATTGACACCTTTCCCACTGACCCCATAAAGGAATCCTCATGGCCACAAGGATTTGGCCAACTCACCCAGGTTGGTTGGACTTTTTGCTAAAGATTGTTGATGAGGCCGAGTGTGGTGGCTCACACTTGTAATCCCAGCACTTTGGGAGGCCGAGGCAGGTGGATCACCTGAGGTCAGGAGTTCGAGACCAGCCTGGCCAACATGGGGAATCCCTCTCTCCATCAAAAATACAAAAATTAGCCAGGCATGGTGGTGGGCACCTGTAATCCCAGCTACTCAGGAGGCTGAGGCAGGAGAATCGCTTGAATCTGTGA